AAAAAAAAAAAAAAAAGATGACAATACTACCCAAAATGATATACAGATTCACTGCAATATCTGCCAAAATTCCAATGGCTGTTTTTGCAGAGATGGAAAAGCTTGTCCTCAAATTTATATGGAATTTCAAGGGGCTCCAAATAAACGATCTTGAAAATGAAGAATAAAGTTGGAGGACTCATACTTCCTGATTTCTTTCTTTTTTTTTTGAGTTGGAATCTCACTCTGTCACCAAGCGGCCACCGCAGCCTCAACCTGCTGGGCTCCGGCGATCCTTCCACCTCAGACTTCCCAGTAGCCGGAATTACAGGCATGCACTACCATGCCCGGCTGATTTTTTTGATTTATTATAGAGATGAGGTCTCGTCTGCCCGGGCGGGTCTCGAACCCGCGGGCTCAGGCAATCCACTCACCTCAGCCTCCCAAAGGCGTGGGATTATAGGCTGAGCCACCAAGCCCAGCACTTCCTGATTTCAAAACTTACTACAAAGCTACATGAATAAACACTGTGATAATTGCATAAAGATAGATATATTCACCAGTGCTATGGAATTGAGACTTCAGAAACAAACCTTTACATATATGGTGAATTGATTTTCAACAAAGTTACCAAAACCATTCAATGGGGGAAAAATAATCTCTTTAACAAACAGTGTTAGCACAACTGGATATCCACATGCAAAAGGACAGAGTTGGACCTCATACCATATACAAAACAAAAAAAACAAAAACCCTCAAAATGGATTAAAGGTTTTATTGCATGTTATCACTTATATGTGGAGGCTAAAAAAGTTGATCTCAGCCAGGCATGGTGACTCAAGCCTATAATCCCAGCTTTTTGAAAGGCAAAGGTGAGAGGATTGCCTGAGTCCAAGGGTTCAAGACCAGCCTGGGAAACTGGCAAGACCCCATCTCTATAATAAATCACAAAATTAGCCAGATGTGGTGGTGCTCACCTGTAATTCCAGCTACTTGGAAAGCTGAGGTGGAAGGATCACCTGAGCCCAAGAGATCAAGGCTGTGGTGGCTGTGAGCATGCCAATGTACTCCAGCCTGGGTGAGTGAGTGAGGCTCCAACTCGAAAAAAAGTTGATCTCATGGAAGTAGAGGTTAAAATGATAGATAACAGAGACTGGGAATGGTGGAGCAATGAGAATGAAGAGAGGTCAGTTAATGGGTACAAACATACAGATAGATAGAAGGAATAAGTTCTAGTGTTTTACAACACAGTAGGGTGACTACATTTAATAATAATATGTTGTATATGTCACAATAGCTAGAAGATTTGAAATGTTTGCAGTACAAAGAAATGAGAAATGTTTGAGGTAGTAAACATCCTAAATGCTCTGATTTGAGCCTTGCACATTGTATGCATGTATCAAAATACTACATGTAACCCATAAATATGTACAATTATTATGCATCAGTACAATTTTTTTCTAAGTTTCTGCATCAAATTACACTATCAAGAAAGCAAAAGACCAGGTGCAGTGGCTCACATCTATAATACCAGAACTTTGGGAGGCTGAGGCAAGAGAATTCCCTAAGTGCAGGGGTTCGAGACCAGCCTGGGCAACTTGGTGAGATCTCATCTCTACAATAAATAAAAAAATCAACCGGGCTTGGTGGCTCAGCCTGTAATCCCGCACCTTTGGGAGGCTGAGGTGAGTGGATTGCCTGAGCTCGCAGGTTCGAGACCCGCCTGTGCAGCGAGACCTCATCTTACAATAAATCAAAAAATCAGCCGGGCATGGTAGCGCATGCCTGTAATTCCGGCTACTTGGAAGGCTGAGGCGGAAGGATCACCGGAGCCCAGTAGGTCGAGGCTGCAGTGACCGGGAGTGGCCACTGCACTCCAGTCTGGGCGACAGAGTGAGACTCCAACTCAAAAAAAAAAAAAATCAGCCAGGCATGGTAGCGCATGCCTGTGGTTCCAGCTACTTGGAAGGCTGAGGCTGAAGGATCACCTGAGCCCAGCAGGTTGAGGTTGCAGC